GACTGCCGACAGTTAAACAGGGCGCGCGCAGCTCTTAAAGGGGCCATACCTTATTTCCACTCGTTACAGCGTCCATCCTACTGAACAGGTACCGGTGTACATGGGGAGGGGATCCGGCCGTGAGTGTGAGCGCTATTCAGGACAGTACAAGTACTCCACAGCGACTCTAGGGGTCGCTGTTTGACAAAAACGGAATTCCTACTTAGTGCTGCTTTAACCCTTCACAATATTCTGTGAAGTATGAACTGCATACTGCACATATGAAATAGGTTCAAGGGGATCTATAGCCTGATATATCTGGAGAGAGCTAGCCTATCTTATTAGCATTTATCTTGATAGCATTTATCTTGATGACAGTTGTCTCTCTGCTGGCGAAAACCGGTGAAATTGTTCTTGGGCTGTAAATGCCATGTGATCAGGGCTGCTTTTGAATAGCTATCGATGGAGAAACATATACTTTCTACCTACAGCAGAATCTACTGGACCATAACCAGCCATACCTTGATTTCTTGAGTAAGTCACCTCGATACTCCATGCATACAGAAAAATGTCATATTTGTGCACAGTGTAGCCTATATACTATAGCCTAGGCCTATTGAATGCTATTTGAATTGTATGCTATTTCTACAAGAATTGTATGCTATTTCTACAAAAATAAATAAAAAAACTCTCGTGTCACATACCTTTTTCCTGAGAGCTGAGGTTCAACATGACACAAAGTGTGTGTGAGTCTATTACCTAAACGTCATTTTCAATTATCTGTCAGCATTGTCGCAGGGAAATTAAAAGAACCCAATTTCCGCTCCAAAAGCACGGCGTTAATCTACTCCTCTCTCCACGCTCGTCTGAAGCCCACACATCCAGAGAGGAGTAATGTGATGTTTCTGTTCTGGGCTTGTTACGTGAAGGAACCTTTTTACAAGTGTGAGCCAAGACCAAAAGAAGTGTTCAAATCTGCGGGTCCTGGTTCCTGAAGCCTGTGACACAAATTCATTACATTTTACAGCTGCACATTACTAGTTTTGGACACATTTATGCAAACACTGTTATTAGAAGAATTATCGGTTAGTGGCGTGACTCTACTGTGAAATGTTCAGTGACTCTGTAAAAATGGCATTGTAATCGCACACAGAGAGAGTGTGTTTGCATGTTTTTGGGGGGAATGCGGGGTGAGTTGGCTGCTGTCTGTATTCGTTTGATCATATTTGTCGAGACACTAACCGGCTCTGACAGGGCCACATACAAGGGGTCGGTAAGGTCGCGTATTTAGAAAAGCACTATGGAAGAATTATTCACCATCATTTTGACAATTCTCCTGTCAAAACCAACTTTGACAGCACATTGCTTTATTTCCATTAATTCTTGCCTCAGGTCATTAAAAAACACCAGAAAAGCCAGAATACAAGATTATGTCGCATTTTTATTAGTGCCATATGAATGTTCTCCTTTAGCCCCCCTGGTATTTTTCATTTGATGTAACTTTCTAATTTATCCCTGAGTAAATAGCAATCGTAATGCGAATGGAATGAAGAGCAGGCGCGAGGCGTGTGCCGGTGAGAGGAAAGCGGCCCTCCATGCAGGAAATTATCTTGCCAGCACGGAAGCATCTGTGCTCAGCTGAGACGAGAGAAAAACAAGGCTTACCTCTCCTCCTCTCCTGCTCCCTAAAAAAAAAAACGGCAATCAATAGAAAGTTCATTTCAGAAAGGCAGTCTGGTAATCTGTTTGGCTGCACGCGCACCTGTCCCTAATGATCTTTCCAGCACAACAGAATGACCTAATCTTCATTCAAATGAATCGCTGCACAACACCGACAACACTTTATCACACTTTCTCTCCAGTACACTCACGGTGATGGAGGCGTGAGGGCCGGAGGAAAACTGATCAGAGTGAGTTAGAAGCAGTTTAAGTGAGCTTGAATGACTAGTTTTTAGAGTTAGAAAATGGGGATTATTTACACACACACAGGCTTTGCTGTTTATCAGTGCTCAAACTGGTTGTCACAGGGGTTATATCTTGCAGTTTCCACAAATAGGTTGAAATGTTGTCAGGTATTAAACTAAATCCCGTGTTTAATTTTTTTGTAATGAGAAGAACCACAACATACCATATAGTCACACTAAATAAATAGTTTTCCACACAAATATGAAGCGGCACCATTTTTTTTAACATTGATAATCAGAAATATTTCTTGAGCAGCAAATCAGCATATCAGAATGATTTCTGAAAGGGTCATGTGACACTAAAGACTGGAAACACTGTAAAAAATGATCGTGATTTTAACGGTAAAAGACTATGCTACAGTGGAAAACTGTTAATTGGTTAACAGAAAGTTTCCTTACTATATACGGTAAATAACTGTGATAGTCTAACGGTACATTTAATGTAATTTTACTGTAAAATACCGTTAAATTTACAGTTTTTGAAAGTGAAAAGAACTCATTTTATAATTTACAGTGAAAATCCGTAAATTGACATTCCCACAATTCCCTGCATGACACTTCACATTTGATTTATTTTTCTTGAAATATGTTTCTTCTTAGTTCTTTTCTAATCATGTATATTAGGGTTTTATGTTACATTTAATGTTGTTAAATTAATGTTTATTGCATTTTTAAAATTTCATGTGTTACCATGATGGTGTTTAATGTTTGTGCGAATAACACTGTGCAGCTTCTATATATTAATATTAACTTTCATGTGGAAGATTTCTTGTGTCGAGCTTTGATTTATCATCTCACTGTCATCACTGCTGTGATGATTGTTGGTTGTCAGTGTATTACAATGGTACAAAATAGATAATAATACTTCAATAGGTTGGTAAATTATCATTATATCAGATAATGAATTACGGTTTATTACTGTAAATTTTAAGTTAAGTCTGTAAAACCAAAAACGTTGATACCGTATTTGACGATAAAGTTCTGGTAACCACAGCTGCCAGTTTTTTTTCCGTAAAAACAACAGGATTTTTTTTACAGTGCATTATCACAGGAATAAATTACATTTAAAGGAGCACTTCACCCATTTCAACATTAATCTTTATTGAAAGTGGGTCATATATGTAGTCGAAATGTAAAAGAAATTTTGAATTTGGTGCCCTCTTGACCGAGAAAAGACAGAAAATAACTTTTGGGCGCATTTGTATGTAAGACAACAACTCCCACAATGCACCACATTGCACAGCTCCGCAAGCCACTCCCACTAATCCAGAACAGCAGCGCAAACATCACAAATCACTCTTCCGTCTACAAGGCTAACGTTAGCTGCCACCAGAGTTAGAAATTCATTTCACACAAAATTTATAGTTAGTTGGCTGTGGCGAGCAGGACGAGGGCGAGCCGAGGCACGTGAGATGACTGCGCGAGGCCGGTGGCGTGAGTGATAATGAACGACACCGGTGAGACGCACCGGTCTCTCTCGCGTCTCTCACCGAGGAGCGACGACAGGGCAGATCGAGTGAGGAACAGGCCTGATTTTATGTTGTGTGTGGCCAACAGTGAGGGGCTGCTGGCTTATACTTTTGTTTTGTATTTGTTTATTTTACTATTAAAATGTTTAAATGTTTCCCGCCTCATTCTTCCCACAACAACGAACCCCGTTACATTGGCAAACTCATTAGCGAATTACTCGTTTGTATTTCTTTCTATATGGTGAATTTTTGCATGATACCTGGTTCAGTCAGAACATGCTGTGCGACACGAGGATGGTTCACATCACAACACAAACGTCCGTGTGCTCGTCTGATTCAGAGATTTCGTCCAGGAGAAATTGCTATCGTTGAAATTCTCTGCAGCAGACGGACTCTATCTGTGTCCGTAGCGCACAGCGAGAGCACAGGCACCAGCAGTCCGCCCAGCTCGAGCCAGTCCGGGCTCCTCGTCCGCGACAGGCAGCCGCCTCGTTCCTCCATCAGCCTCAGCTGCTCTTCACTATATTGCGGCTCGTATAAATAGCCACGAACATCAGTTTCGAGCAAAAGATTTTCAAAATCCTCGTCTTCCATATCGTGTGTCGTATATTCAGGCATTATGGTAAATCTAACTCCTTGAGCGCTTGTTAGCTTAGCTTGCTGTCTTCCAAGCAAGATGGCGGATTAATAGTTTAGTTTCTTCAGGTTTAGTCCCACCCACTGATCTGTAATAGGCCGGTGGGGTGAGTCGGTCCCACGCCCTTGAATAATAATGAGCTTAAGGCTGTAGTTTTCTTAATATGCAATGAAATTTATCTTCCGTCCTATCGTGACGCAAAATGACGATATTTACGTCACGATAGGACGGAAGTAAAACACTTAAATCCTTTTTTCTCCCATCTAAGAAAAAGCAAAATTCCACCATCATTATAATATATGACTGGGTTTCTAACAATACAAACCTTAATGCGAATGGGTGAAGTGACCCTTTAAATTTTAACATTTTAAAAAGAACACAAAAATTTAGTTTTGATATTTTACGATATTTTTGATTAGATAAATGTAGACTTTGTAAACCTGACTTATTTCAAAAACTTTTCTTTTTTTAATGACCGAAAAATGGCAGCATAAAAACACATTTCTTCCTTGACTACCGAGAAATATCTTAATTCAACTTAACCATGTAATTCTTTTATTTTTAGTGGTGTTATATTTTTTTAAAATCATAAAACCCCACAAATTTGAGTATGAAACCATTTAAACACGCATTTAAACAGAAATCTTATTTAAAATACTCAGAAAATAAACCAGCACGTTACATTTACTTTTTTTTACTTGCAGAAACGATATAAAAATTATGATTTTGTTCTCAGGATATTTTTCATGCACATTAAGTGTACACAATCTACTTCTGTTTCCTCTAACAAGAATGTTGATGGATGATAAAATTATTTTTAATGTCAGAAAAGTGAGGGGAAAAAAAGTCCACACTTCCTTACAGCACCACTGGATGGCGTCAAAGTCCACGTGACAAACTGGATTGTAAATCTCACAAACAAACCCTTAAATTGAGCACAAAAGCAAATAGTTTGTCTACAAGCTTTGATACTTTATTGGTTTATTTTTCACAATGCATTCCACAGACAGTCTTCAGCATATTTTCATCAAAACTGAAATCTTTTACAAATGACCTGCATGAAGAAACAGCGCTTGATGTTTGAAAGTTATTAAGAGCGTGAGCCGTTTCAGGTATTCGATCCACGATGGAGACGGCAAATTCTGCAAACATGTTGATTTTTGACATGACAGGAAGGTGATAGGCCGACAGCATACGTTCTAGTTCACCTTTTTTTTCTTTTTGTTTTCTTCACTTAACGGCTAAAAACAATGAATAGTTGGGTGCAATACGCCGTAACAGATCCCTTTGTAGACAAGTGTGAAATAAAACTGCTCTTAAATTCTGCTACAGAAGACTAGAAGCTTCTTCACCTCTAACACGATTTAATTGCATCAACTTTAACACAGTTACACCACAACAACACTGTGTTCTATCACGCCAAGTACAAACAAAATAGGAAAAAAAGAAAATTGCTAAAATCAAAAGACTTGTGAAGGAACTTTATAACCAAAACAATTCATACTGTAATGAATCAAAATGGCCTTCAAAAAAGGTGAACGCTTCACTGACCGAATAGTAAATGAAAAAAACCTCATCGAATCCTGCCTTCGCTGACATGGAGTTCCTCGGACTACATTCTGTAATGGTGTTACGTAGCTGCGTTTAAACATGGACAACTAGCTCTACTCTGAAAGACAGTGACGACTCTGCTTGTGAGAGAAACTCATAGGAGGTTTAAAAAGGATTCATTCTCAGTTACGCTAACATTTCAAACACTGGGGGAGGGGGGATAAAGTTTACATTGCATCGTCTAAGGCCTTTTTCCAAACCAAACACGATTCTGTCCGTCTTCTCTTGTACCAACATCACTTCTCGTGCACAGAATTAACAATCTAACTTTCTTCACTCCGTCTTTGGCTTTGCTCCGGGAATCTTGGCCTGGACCCTGTTAATGGCACAAACAAAAGAATATTACTACAGCCCATGAGGAACATGAAAAGCACAAGTTTAAACTAAATTAATAAAACAAGAAGTCCAGTCACACTGTAAAAGAAATTATATACACACAGACGTGTGTGTTTATCTATATTAGAGCTGTCAAATCACACCTAACAAAAGTTTGATTGATAAATACACTTAAAAATACATATATAAATGCATACATATTCATACACATGTATATTTATTTGCATTACACAAACTTTTGTTATATATATATATATATATATATATATAGTCTCTACAATATTCTAAAACATTTTTTGAATGGCCTTAAATGGACAAAAAAAAAAATTACAATGCATGTATCTGCTGAATTTGAGGGGTTTACTTTTAGTAGTACCAATATATAGATTCCATTAAAAAGCCACAGGTGTCAGTTTTTAGAATGAAATAAATTAAATGACAGCAATGCCATAGCCATTTGCTCCCTTCTGAACATTTACAGATTTATATGGTCAGGGGGGCTATTAAAGTGTAGCTAAAACCATTAAAAAATTTTTTTTTTAAATAGTTAGAAAAAAAAAAAAATCAGCTTGTTTCCATGGCAACCTTTATTTTTTAAATTAATAAAAAGACTAATTTTATACACACCTATACATGCCAAAAAAACAACAACAAAAAAAACCCACTTAATGATACTACAATAACTATTTAGTCTACAATTGTATTCATCAAAACCAAATGATCATAAAGCACTATTTTGTCTGGTTCATTGAGGAAATCACCAGTTGCATATTTCACCATGTAAACAGACTTACTTTCCCACAACATCTTTGATTTGCTTGTTCACCAGTCCGTAGTAATGGTCAATTTGTGCCTGTATTAGGAATAAGGAAAAATAATTACCGCATTCAGGTGAACATTATAGATTTATCATGCGCCTATTGACACTGAAGACTCCAATAAACACTTAATATACCACGACAGCTGCCTCAGCCGGAAGTTATCATTGCAAACACAAGCCAAATAGATGTACCTGATGCTTTTCATAGACCACTGGCCAACTGAAAGCCCCTATGAGACCTAAAGAAAGAACACATTTTGAACATAATGCCATATTCTGACAGGTGACAACTGACAAGAAAAAATGACAATGCATCAATTTAAAAATAGGACTACATTCCCAAAATAGACATACCCAAAATAAGAAGGGTGAGACCATTGAACAAGGCACCAACATAAGTCAGGATCCACATGAGAACTGCAAACTGAGAAGAGAAAACCACATGTCAACATACAACCAGAGTACAACAGGCCACAAGGAAACACTTTAGTCACATGTGACAAACGCATTTGACACTTATGGTCATATTAGAAAAAAGTAAGCTTCCTTCATCTTTTCAAATAACGTTTCAGAATGTCTACAAAGTACATTCAAACTCTTATCAACTCAAACCTCTTCCCAGAGCCACAAATATAAAAACTACTAATTCAAAATAGTGTCTTTTTGGCATGAGGCATCGCACTAACACAATGAGATTACTCATTTTACATGTCAAGGAGAGCATTTACATAGTATTAATTTCTTTCACAAAAAAAAAAAAAAAAAAACTTGCCGACTCAACTTTTAAATATTAGTAATACTTGTTCAAAACTGATGCATGGATCAACAGTGGCACTTTTCCACGGTTTCAAAAATGTCAAAAAAATAAAATTAAAAAGAAAGTTCTTTGATGCTTTCCATTCACCAAATACAAAGTGCATGATTTCCACACACACAAAAAAGCAGCACAAACTTTTTTCCCAAATTGAAAAGAAATGTTTCTTAAGCAGCAAATCATGTGATGAATCATGTGACACTGAAGACTGGAGTAATGGTGCTGAAAACTCAGCTTTGCATTACAGGAATAAATAGAATTCTTAAATATTTAAATACAAAAGATATTTAAATAATATCTAAATTTTAATATATTACCATTTTTACTGTATTTGAGTGTTTTGAGTGAACAACTTTTCACTTTAAGAGTCAAATAGAGGGTAAAAATGATCATGAAAAATGCTTAACTAACCATTTTCATTAATTGACATCATAAAACAACGCATTTCACTTGAACTAAAATAGAATAAAAAGAAAGGCAGGCCGACACTTATTGCAAGCTGACCCAACAAATGGCAGAACCTGTTCAAAAGCCACCGGCACATAAACGGTTGCTCGTAACTGGACACGTCACTCAATATAGCCGTCTGACCACAGAGAGACTGAATGCTGTAGAAGACCTCCAGAGCTCTGAAAGGGCAGTGGGGTCTGGCTGTAACTCGACCCATAACCCATAACCAGCACCCCCTTCACAGGGCAGTAAATCTCCATACACGGATGCTTCCATCCACTGGGCTCCCCTGCGTTTGAGACGTGGGCCAATGCAGCACCAAGAAAAGCCATGAGGTGCTGATTTAACATTAATGTTCGTGGTACTTTTCCATTACGCCAATAACTTTGCTTAGAACAGGGCGACTCCTTAATGTCAGATATTTTGACGCAAGATTATTTGACGAAGCACTTATCCCAGGATTTAGTATACCAGAGTCCAAGTTCTATTACGAACCTAGTTCTGAAAATTCACTTTGTGTGTCTATATGACAGCAGAAGGAACATTAATATTTTCAATGTTTTTTTAGGGATGTACCGAAATAGCAATTTTCAGTTTCACGCCAAAATTGTTTCAGTCAACGATTTTGGCCCTTAAAAACCGTGACGTTTAAAGGTGAAGTGAGTGATTTCTGAGAAACACTGTTGATATTTGAAATCAACCTAAACAAACACACCCCTCCCTTCATTGCTCCGCCCCCAAAACGCACTAACACTGAATACAAGAGTGGATGTCTCTTGATTATAACTGAGGCACAGCAAAATAATGCTTCACGAAAAATAGTGAAGCTGTACAGCATGTTCATTTTTTGTTCAAGAGTATACAAGCAACCAGCAATGACAGTCAGAACGGTCCTGTTACTATCGCGAACATTACAAAAACCGCATATCTTGGTTCTGTGAAACATAGAAAACCCAATATTACTCATGTACAAACAACGCAATGTAATTACAACTAATCTCAGTGTTTCAACCACAGAAAGACATCAATAAACAGCTTTTATCTAGAGAGCAGTATTTTGCTAAATACATGCACTGTATTACATATTATATTTTAACTTAACCTGTTAGCAATGTCTTCATTTTTTTTTAATGTTTGAATAAATTGGTCTTCAATTTCTTGGTAAAATATAAACATTTAAATGATGGCTATAATTTAAGTACAAACTTAATTCTATTATTAAAAAAAGTTCATATAAAAACTGCCTTATGTACAAACAATTATTTGTGTAAATAAACTTGTTTGATTTTCTGAAAATTAATATGTCAGTTTTTAGTTAATTCATGAAATTAAATGTAAAAATCTAATATTAAATTTAGTAATAAAAAAAATAAAAAAATAAAAAATTAGGTGCATTCTCAATTTCGGTTAGGGCCCAGAATTTATTTCGGTGCGTCACTAATTTTTTATTTTAATAATTTACAATCACTTTTTATACATTTCAAAACAAAAATAGTTTTTTTTTTTTTTATGTTTAACTGTGTGATATATTACAATTATATCATAGTATTATAATCAATTTGTGGTTTAAGACATTTTGGTGCATCACTAGACTCCATATGCCACAATAGCTGAACTAAATACACAATGCATTAGTAGTGCATACAGTTCTTTTTGAATGGCCCACTCATTAGAACTAGAATGCCCTCGACATGGCAACGCGGGCATTAGAGCAACAACGCATAGTGAGCTGGAAAGTGTAGTTCAGCTATTCATTCAAGATCATTCAGCCCTGCAGCTAACCTGGTCATGTGACAGCCTTCTAAAAGAGCATCACATGACTAAAGACTGACATTCCTCAAGGCTACATCACAGCTGATTCTTTAAACCCCCACCCCAATAAAAAGAGTTGAGCGAGAGAGATCTTTGGCACCATTTCTATCCCATCAGAGCTCAGTCCAAATCCCCTCAGCCTGATGATCAACAAAGGCTGCTTTGTGGAGCCGTTCATGACCCTCTCCTGCAAAACCTGACCACCAACCCTCTCGACCAAAAACAAATGAGGCCATGTCTCTTATTCAATGCATAAGGGGGAATCAAGAATACAGTTAAAAAAGTAATATTGTGAAATATTACCATTTAAAAATTTGCATACATTTTAAAATGTCAACTTTCAGCTTCACTACTCCAGTCTTCAGTGTTACATGATCCTTCAGAAATCATAATTTGATTGATTTGATGCTCAAGAAACATTTCTTATTATTATCAATGTTGAAAACAGTTGTGCTGCTGTTCGTGGAAAAAGGTTTTGTTTTTTTGTGATTCTTTGATACACAGAAAGTACAAAAGAACAGCATTTATTAGAAATAGAAATCTTTATAACAAATGTCTTAATACTGTCACTTATGTCCTTGCAGAAAAGAAGTATAAATAGACTTGAAGTGTGCATTAAATTAAGCATGTTTTGAAATGGACAAGCAGGCTTACTCGTCTCAAAATATCGGCCGGACTATAATATAAACGTGAGGATTCAATTAAAAGATACACCAGGGTTCCTACAGGTTTCTTCAAGTTAAATTCAAGTCTTTTTAAGACCATTTATATAAAAAATTAATACCTATTTCACGTCCCTACCAGCAAAGAAAAACAAATTCTTTCAACTTGTTCATTTATTTTTCAAATGAGGAATGGGTAAAAGATGATAAGCCAAGCAGGTGTGAAAAATAAAAACATTTCAGTAGGCCACAAGTTTGCCGAACAATGTTAAGTTGTGTTTTAAAATTAGCTAGCTACTTATTCCATGCTGGGAATATGGGGAACTGAGAGACCCCTGAACAATAAACATCAAAAATCATAATAATCGTGGTTGACAAATGAAACTTTAGGAAAAATACAATACGGAGAAGTTACATACAGCAGTGTTAATTTTGACAGCAAATTTTGATTTAGTTTTAGTCTCAGTCTTTTGACTAAAAATATGACTAAAACTAATTTTAGTCATATTTTAGTCATCTGAATTGTTTTAGTTTTAGTCTAGTTTTAGTTGACGAAATACAATGAGATTTTAGTGATTTTTGATTTTAGTTTTTTTTAGATTTTCTAAATCTACTGTACACTATATTTTAGTCGACTAAATCTACTGTAGATTTAATGGTTTTAGGTAAATTGTAATGCGTTAATTTAGAATTTCTCTAAAATTTCCAAACCCATACACTCCCGGAGAAAACATATATTATTAACCTATTAATATGAATGATTTTTAAGTTTGAACATGCAATACAGATCCAGATTTAACTACTGTGACTTAAAAAAAATATCTTAAAATTTAATAAAACCACTTTTCCTAAAGTAAAACACAGTCTTCTTTTCAATTAATGACATATGCATTCTTTATAACAACTTACATACATCATCCTTTATTCTTTCAAGTAGACAATTATTTGTATGAATTAAATATAATTAATCCTTATTAAAGCTATTAACAAACAGTGAATGTTTTTCTCTTTTTATTTTGTTGCTTGATCAAAATTAATGACACAGACTGCATTATGTTTATTGCCACTGTCACTTTAAGACATCGGCCAATGGGACTTTGGACTTTAGATCAGCACGTTACAGTACAAATGTGTGCATCTACCACACACGCAGGACATCAGTTCTGACTGGATCGCTTCAAAGATCGACATTAACATTTTCATCTAGTTTTTATTCGTTGACGAAAATGTCAACGATTGAAAAAGTCAATGATGTTCGTCATAGTTTTTGTCATTCAAAACTAGGTTTTATTTAGGTAGCATCTCATTTTCGTCAGTGAAGAATGTCGTTGAAGAAAAGTTTTCGTCATTATATTCGTCAATGAAACACACTGACATACAGCACAATTTTTAAGACCCAGACATCAAAATTTAAGACTTTAAAGTATTATTTCCAAATTCATAAATTCAATGCTTTTAAGGCTTTTTAAGACCCCGCGGGAACTCTGTACACAAGCAGAACTGTTTCACCTTTTTCTTTTTTGACACTAAAGGCCAAATTCTAGCTTAATTCTTCAGGGGGGAAAAATTGAGATATCAAATTAAGCATTAACTGTACAGTTTACAAGGGCATTATTGTTCACCCACCTCATGAAAAACATCAAGACAACAAGATTTATTTCCCAGTCTTCACCCTGAGAGCAGTTATGGAGCGCCAAATCAAATAAAAGAGCATAAGCTGAGAGAAGGATCAGGATTTCATTTCCTCAGGTCTTCTAGAACAAACCTTGAGCGAGTCCACCAGATCCTCCACCAGGAAGAGTCGTCGCAGCTCTTTAACAACAGTGTTGATGTGCACCAGAACTGTGTCACTGTACTTATGAACCGTCTCCGTAGGGATCGCGATATCCTTATCCAGATACATCCTGTACAGGAGACAGAAGGTTTACCGTGAGACTAAAGCTCCGTTTTATGAACCTAGTGAGCAAGCAAGACTGATCATGCCAAATGATCATGACATTTATGATTAATGCCCTTTTTAGTTCGCCATCAAGTTAGGAAGACCATGACATTTAACTAGTTTTACAATCCTTTTACTCCCAGGTAGAGTTGCACGATTTATCGTTAAAAGATTTGCCATCTTGATCCGAACACCCACGCAATCTTATTTTTTTAATGTCAAAAATGTAGCTGTCTGTTTATTAAGCCTTTGAAAAGTATAATCACGGAGGAACATTCAAATCTGCGTTCACGCTGCCGCTGACCCAGAGAGAGCAGTTGTCATGCATTGGCTCCTCAAATAGTCTTTAACCATTATGGTATAATACCGTATCATTATTTCTATCTTACAATAATTCATATTAAGTCACAGAAGTACTGGGATACAAGTTTATAGTTTGGATATAAACAATGCGTGTTTTCTACAGCGATCAAAACAGAGTAAACCACCTTTTGAAACTTGACACTTCAAGTAAAGATTACATCATTACACCAGTAGGTGGCAACAAGTGACAAACGTATGTTTTATCGAATCATTTATTCAAATCAAGAGTCGTTCAAAAACGCTGATATGTCCAGAAGGTGTAATGAAACGAGTGAAGTATTTATCAGTCATTGAATCACTCATTAAAACGGATTTAAAAAAACTAATTTATATATATATATATATATATATATATATATATATATATATAGTAGTCAACATTTCAAGTGGATCAAAAAAGTTCATCAAAGTTATCCTAAGACAAGAACGGTATTCAAAATGCATGTATATCCTGTCCTTGATGAAAGGTTTTGATCCACTTGAAATGTTGACTACGATATATATATATATAAAAAATATTAGGGGTGTAACATTAATTTATAAATGGGTGTCATCTTTGAAGGATAAACAAATAATGTTTTGGTCATCACATTAAAATAACATTTAAATATGAGAGTTCAGATGCAAAAGCCATTTGAAATCTTCTAGAATGATATTTTTTAATCAAGCTTGTATTTAAGTTCAGTAATTTCAGTTAAATGGCAATGAAGATTACCTATTAATTGTCATTTGAGTGAAATTACTGAACTTAAATATACAAGCTTCATAAAAATGATCATTCTAGAAGAAAATTTCAAATGGCATTTAGAGGCTTTTGCATCTGAACTCTTCATATATTTATTTATATAATATTTGAGTTTTGAAGTGCTGGAAAAAGATGTGTGAAGTACTTGAAAGCATTTCACTATTCCAGCCACACTGGTTACCATTTAGTGTTACCAAATAAAATCCATGGTGAATGTTGCTGGTCTGTGGACGTAAAGTATTACTAGTTCATTCACGGCACAATGTTTCTCCTGGTTTCCACGTCAGCGCTGTTTGATCTAATAAAGATCTACGGTTAACAACGGAGAAATGTGAATGCTTCTCACTAGATCTCGCAGCGATGTTATTACTTCAGTGGCGAATTCAAATGTTTTCTTTACTGGATCTCTTAGCACTGTGTAGTAACAGTGTCGCTTGATCGAGATCGGCTCGCGCTACACAGATGTTGCTGGTCCGAACTTATAAACTGTCCGTGAAGCACAATATAATGAGTAGCGCAGTTTCGTTCCGCTTTCATTACGTTTGCCATTTGATGTTGCGCAACGTTGTGGTGATCGCGCCAGCGCGAATTTTGTCAGCAGGAAAAATGGTCCAAGGAATCGTTCGGTTTGTTTGCGTACCGAACCGGAAGCCTCGAACCGAAACGGTTCAATACGAATACATGTACCGTTACACCCCTAATATATATATAGAATTAGTTTTTTTAAATCCTAGTCAACATTTCAAGTGGATCAAAACCTTTCATCAAGGACAGGTTATACATGAATTTTGAATACCGTTCTTGTCTTAGGATAACTTTGATGAACTTTTTTGATCCACTTCAAATGTTGACTACTCTGTGTGCGTGTGCACGCGTGTGTGTACGTGTGTGTACATATAGGATGTAACGGTTCACTGTAAAAGAATGTTTAAAGTGTAACTCGACCCCTGGTCAGAGCTTAACTCCATCCACTGGCAACAATATTTGGAAAATGCTGGAAAAGTGGGCAGAGACAGAAGGGACGAACCGAGGGCAGAGCTGGGGGTGGGGGTGGGGTGGCGTGGGGGCTCGCGTGTGTCAGCAGTGACGGATTGATCGACACATGGGCGTAATCTGCGGGTGGGACATGTCCCCACCACTATTGGCATGGATGTACCAATACAAATAAATAAAACATCTCCAGTTAACTCCAGCAGAGCATTAATTTAGTTAAATAAAGAGGCAATCTAGCGCTAAAATTAGTTGATCATTTGATTTTAAAAAACAAAGTGCTCGTTGGCGCTGCGATCAGTGGTACGTACAGTGTTCTCTTGTCTTCACACGCTTCAATTCGTTGCGGAGAGACTCTTTCCGGTGAAAGCACAAAACAAAATGCACACATACGTGTCCCTGCTTGATATACAACCACTGATAAACAATAGGTTTTGATGAGAAAAAAGAAAAACACATACACGTACACATAAGAACCCAGAACCTGACACGCTTGGCAAAAGTTCTGCCACTGGACCATTACATGCGTAGAACAGTCGGATCTATGCGTTTATTCACGTGAAAATTCTCCCCACTAACAACATATATTAGATCTCATTAAACAATCAATGAAACAATGTAACATTTAAATCGATTGCTGGACATCATAATGTTATTGTACATACATCTGATTTATGATTTAGCATTGTATTAGCATCTCATCAATTCGAGCCGCTGGCCGCTGGCTGAAACTGCGGTCTTAACTCCCGATGCCGACGCTGCTAGCGGAGTGTGTGGTGAGCTCGTGCCAGGGCGAGGGTAATGGCCGTTGGGAGAGCCTGCATACGTCACGCGGGGAAACAACTTCAAATAAGAAAACTCAACTGCAGTAGCCAGCGTTCAACTCGAAGGCAGCACTGACGTTTTTACACCATATATTGTAGAATTAAAACACTTTATACCCAAATGTCAAAACATTTACTCGCATCAATGAACAGCACTAATAAAGCACCAGTCTTGCAGATCATTAACTAAAACGCATCTATAAGATGGTTTGTTTTGGAGTCGAGCCTAGCAGTTTGATCAAAATTAAGTATATAAAAACACAAATATAGCAACCATTTCACTTCCAAAACAACTTTAAGAATCTTTGTTTTTAACTACTTTGAAATAGATGTGGAACGGCAAAAATAGAGGACTTAAGTTTGGCAGGGAGTCAAAGCCAACAACGTGTAACACCTCCTGTAAGCCCAGAAGCTAAGCTCCACAGATCTACCTCCTTACATAAACTGGAACACAAACTGATCAAAGCAGGATTATCCTAAACGTTTTACACTCAGGCGACGCAAAGTGAACAAACCACGGAGTGGAAAAATGGGAGCCTGATGCCGTCACGATATGCATGCAACAAGTGTGTGCGTTCCTCACTTGAAGGGGTGTCCATCCTCGGACTTCTGAACAGCCTGTAAAATGCCTTTGTATATCCTGAAGGAGATGGTGACAGACAGCAGGGCAAGGGCCACGTAGGAGAGAACGCTGATAATACTGCAGACGCTGAGGGACAGCAGCAGGAACAGACTGGCTCCAAACACCACCCCCGTCCTCTGCAGATCTCGCCAGTACAGCAGGTCCACCACTGCCGGCAGAAACAGGAGTTACGTCAACCCTCGACAGACAGATGACCAAACTTTTGTGATTAAAGGGATAGATCACCTAAAAATTACAATTCTGTCATTAATTAAATAACTCACCCTCGTGTCATTTCAAACCTGTAAGACTTTCATTCACATTTGGAACACAAATGAAGACATTTATGAAATCGGAGAGATTTCGGTCCCTCCATTGACAGCTACGCAACTACTACTTAGACGCTTCATGTGAACAAAAGCCTAAATTCAATCGGTTCATCGTATAAAGCGATCGGGTCTCTTCAGAAAATTTGGACTAAACCACTCAATTCGTTTGGATTAGTTTTACAATCTCTTTATGAACTTTTTGGAGTGTTAAAGTGGTAGTTGCGTAGCTGTCAATGGAGGGACAGAAATCTCTCAGATTGCTTCAAAAATATCTTCATTTCTGTTCTGAAGATGAATGAAAGTCTTCCGGGTTTGGAACGACTTGAGGGCGAGTAGATGACAATTTTCATTTTTGGTTGAACTATCTTTAATACAAAAAGAAATTAACACTTTTAAAAGCACATCATTATAAGAATGTTAACCCAATTTTCATAAGCAAGAAATTCTCCTCTCATGACCTTAATTTTGTGATCATTATGAAAGAACGTGAATGAGAATTAAGGAGTTAAATTACTATGTAGAACAAAAAAACAAATGGGTTTACATTAAGGTCTCTTTAGTATTTACATTAGTGAAAGCATTAAACAATGAGCCATACATTATAATATTTACTGACCTATAATGTTAGTAAATTAAAATACACAACCGTTCATTGTTAGCTCATGTTTATTGAACAATATGGTTACACTTTACAATAAGGTTTAATTTGTTACCATTGGTTAACTAACATTAACTGACAATGAGCAATATATGCGTTATAGTATTTATTAATCTTTGTTAACATAATGTAGTATTGTTGGTTAATGTTAACTAATGTAGTTAAACCAGAACAAACTGAAACTTTTTGTAAAGTGTTCCCAACAAATTAAAATCTGATAAGGGTTGTTTATAATAAAACATTTCTCGATAACAACGATATGCAAAAATTATTACTTTAAATACTTTGTGTTAAAGAAAAAGGCCAAATTACTTCAGTTAGTTGTCAAATGAGACATTTAGTCAACAACGTTGATATCAAATATGACCAAATATAAATTAACATTATACCTTTATTTTGGAATAAAGACTTAACCAGAATACAAATCTTAGTCATAAAATGTACATGTAAACATGGCCAGTGTATAAGAAGTTGAAGAACAGGAAAGAGGATAGTTAAATGGTTAAACTGCTATGGATGGTTATTATGGATTCACAGATGATTTTAATATACAAATGACTTGTGACCACACTGAACATCAAAATAAGGCAGGCATTCATAAAGGACAGCATGGCATGTTTCATGGTGTGATCATGTTCAATTCGGACTTTACAGCAAACCTAGTCTGTTCGTGCTAGAGGCAGGATAAAAATAGGACAGAAACCTCAGTCAGTCAGTCAGTCAATGACCCTTTAATAATTAAACCTAGTCTACTATGTGCCAACATATCTGGTCAGAGTTCATGACAAGTCAGCATGCATGCGCTATCTTCTCACTGCTTTTCTAAAAGACAAACATCATCCACACAAAAAGCCAGTGTTTTAATCAATAACTGAGAAGCACTTTGGTTCGTTCAGCAGAACATGCTGCCCTTCCTCTTGTACTCTTGCCAACAGACCGTTGCATAATCTTATCGAAACTGAACAGTTCGCAAAGTATTAATGTGCCACATTTTCGAAGCTCAACAATGCATGCATATCTGCTCATAAATTTTAATGTGTACTATTATAATTAACCCGACAAAATATGACAAGTCGAGCGGGCTCATCTAAACCCCCGGAATAAAACCTGCATTTTATCCTCATGATTTAATTCTGAATATCGACAGTGCTTCTAAACACACTTTGCAATATAACTACACAAATCAAACAGTGGCACGTGGAGGAGGGACGAAATTACAGGTCGTTTAAAGGTCTAACTCACTAACTAACCTTGTTTGGAATCCATCTCGCTCATCTGCGATCAGACAGCCTGGGCCAAGAACCAAGAACACACGAGAAGCACGCGACTTCAATGACAAATGTGACTTCCTGTTGAATGGGATGATTTTTAAAACAAAAGTCCCTCAGTAATCCAGTACATAAAAGTCCGCTTAATCCGAGTCATACGCAGTGCTGGCCCAAATAAATGTAAAAAAAAAAGAGAGAGAAAAAACCCCTTTTTTTATATATCAGTGCATTTATCAGAAAAGCAGAAACAAATGTTGACCTCATAAAAGTTCAGTATTTTTTTTTTTTTTAAACACCTTATTTACTTTTTACTAATATTTCTTTGAATTGTCCAACACTTATATGGATTGCTAGAGAGCACGTGTTGGTAGATAGATTCCATATACACTACATTTTAAAAGTCTGGGGTCGGTAAAACACATTTTTTAAAATGTTGGCTGCATTTATTTAATCAAAAATACAGTAAAACTGTAATATTGTGAAATATTACAACAATTTAAATGAACACTTTTCTATTTTAATACATTTTAAAATGTAATTTGTTCCTGTGGTGAATTTTCAGCATCATTACTCTGATCTTCAGTGTCACATGATTTTTCAGAAATCATTCTAATATGCAGATTTGCTGCTCAAGAAACATTATCATCAATGTTGAAAACAGTTGTGAAATAATTTTGTAGAAATAGTGTTACTTTTTAATGCCTGTTTTTCTTTAATAAATAGGCAGTTTAGAACAGGATTTATTTGAAATAGAAATCTTTTGTAACATTATAAATGTTTTTACGGTCACCTTTGATCAATAATGTGCTCTTGCTAAATAAAAGTTTTTATATACATCTTTCTGACCCAAAAATTTTGAACAGTAGTGCATTACATGTTCATCATTAAATGTCAGAAATATCTAGAAGACTAAATGGTCGAGAACCAGTGATAAGTATAACCAGTTTTGTTTCTCATTGTTACTCAAAACTAACTATAAAGTGTTTCTGAAACCGAATGTACAATGACACGACAGAATGACAAATCTGGGCCCAAAATGGCCAAATCTTATCCAGTCACCATATTTCACAGGCCCTGATGTCAGACACAATGTATCCATCCAGGAAACAAATCCGTAAGCCAACATTCACAAGGGTTCACAGAAGTTTACATCAGACGTCAGTCTTCATTACATGTTCCCAGCTTGATTTCATTGTCACAATCAGTGCCAACTTGCATAAACAATTTAAATAGCAATGCAGGCCCTCCCGAACATCTGAGAACAGCTAGAACACGATGACAAATGATGCCAAACACACAGAAATTAAAAATAAAATGAATTAATTGTTGCTCAAAGCAGCAGTGACATACTCCTCATGTTGTGGGAAATGGCGCATCGTATCTTTTTCGAAAAGCACTGAATTCAGAACATGCAGTCAGTTCAACATTTTGTGCCGCAAACAGGCAGTTTGCCAATAGCATTCTCTGGCAGAGGGTTAAATGCTTGCCGTTGCAATATGCTTTGTAATCAAGACATCACAGACCATTTACTCAAGGCAACTAGAACATTCTCTCCCACAAGAAACCTTTGCAAGCAAGACCACAAAACCAAGCAAAACTCACTCACAGCTTTACCCAATAACATTTATGGACAAGGCAAGCAGAAAAATCATCATTTTAGTTCATTTTCAGGCCGATTAGGGCAAAACAAGCATATACCCTGTTCTTTCCAGTTCTTTATCTCCATCCCAGAGCTTGTCATAGAAGTCGTGTTATCTGAATTGGCGTACATCAGTCATACATTCCAGTCAAGAGTCTGCAGAAGAGGTGGTCGGGGGTGAGGAAGGAGGTACGAGCCTCTGGCTGGGGCAGGACAGGACTGAAGGGTAGAGAGAGACGCTACGGCTCTCCTAGCAGATCACGTTCTGCAAAGGCCAGCACTGCTGAGGTCAGCTGACCACATTCAAAGGTGTTGAACGCAGTGTACTAGTAACATGAGGTTTCAGCACAGCATCAGCTGGATCATACTAAATGGCTGTCATTCGGGTTCACGCATGTGCTAGAATCACAAAAATGACATCCACATTTTCTATGATGATGCAGTTAGCATTTCGGATGTCATTTTTGACCTGTCCCCAGTACCTCGGTTATGATGAAATCAAAAGTGTTTTTAGTAGAAACATTTAGATTTAGGGCTGGGCATTGACACATATTTCATGATGCAATAGATTCATTTGTTCATATCAGGTACAATAAACTTTAATTTTAGCAATTATTTTTTTCTTTGAGAAATTGACAACTGATTTGTATAACATTTAAATTGCAAGAGAGTTTTTGTTACAATAATAAAGTTATCCATTTTTTTTTTTAAATGACAATTATGTTTTACTACACATAAAAAATAAAGCAAAATGTTTAAAATGGTGGTTTTCATGAATACTTGTTTTCCTGATGGACTTATTCAAACTTACATTGAATATTGTTAAGTACATGAACAAGAACATGTTAAGTAAACATAATGAATATTTAATATAGTGCATATATTTAGCAAAATGCTCTGTGGGGTTAAATAAAAACTAAAAAATATATATAATAATAATGGTGGAAAAGGCAAATAACAAAAAGACTAAATATTACACAAATTAAGACGAAGATAGAAAATACAAAAATAAAAGCCAATTCCAAATATTAATAAACCTTTTAGTTTCATGACCTAGACGACATAATTTGTCCCGACATTTAAAATTTGAGATGGCACAAAGGAGCGATTTATTTAGCACTTGAACACAATATTTATCTGGTTCAATAGTTCAAACTTAAGATGAAAAAAAAAAAACTTACAAAACTGGAAAAGGCAGCTTTTCATAAATAATGACCTACATGCAATAACATTATGAAGCTGGTGTGTGCAATAATCTGGTTTGGGCCCAAATGAAAATCAAGAGAGTCTTGGTTTAGTCATGACACTAATTTGTATCAAAATTGTCCCTTTTTCTACTTTGGGTAACAGATTGTTAGTCAGACACAGTCTGCCCTTTAGACTGTAACGTTTATGACAGGCTTTCATTGAAGCAGCGATGTATAATGGATGATTTATGAAGCCCGTTGTGGCTATGGGTCATTGCGTTTTCCGAGTAGTGTAAACTCGGTCACCGAACTAACTTGCACACTAGTGCTCAGTCTGTTGTTTACAATTATAGGCTATGTGAACATTAAGTATTTGATACTAGGTTAAAAACAACATTGTATTCGGATTTTTACATAGACCTATAAATTAATGAACACATTTTATTTTAATAAATAGATCGACTGACAAAATTGCTTGCACAAATATTCCACACGATGGCAGTATAGGGACAATCAAGATGACGTTGAAACATTTGACAATTTCTCAATGATCATTATAATGCAGTTCGTACACGCACGCAGTAAAGTGGGTAAAACGCTTATTTTTAATAAGAATCACATTAGATAAGGTATTTTTATAACAGATTGTAATCCGTAATACAGATTGTAGGCTAATCCGTTCGTACCCATACGCATCCGTTCAAAAACTATGCCAAACATTATAAATAGGAGACTTAAATTAGATAAAAACACCAAACTGTTTCATTGCAATAGACAAAACAGGTAAAAAGTCACTTAGTCTTGATTAATACATGTAACGTGAATTATTTAAACGGATCTGACGTCATGTCAATACTGGTGTTACATGTTGGATGGATAACTTGGCTTAAAAGTTTATATTGGTAACAGTTTATATTCGGTGGTGGTGGTGATACCACAAGATCCCTGATTGAAAATCAAATCTGAATGATAAAGTTTCAAATGCATAATGTACTTACATGAACACGACGATTTAGATGGTGTGACTGTTGTTTTCTCTTCTTTTTCTTCTGATTTTGCCGGTTTTGTTGTTGCATCTCCAAACGCACCGATCAGTGCTGGCTTGGCAGCTTCTGGTTCTGGTTTAGAGGTGGATGGTGGTTCTGGTTCTGGGTCTGAAAAGTCCAGCAGTGGCTCCTCGGTAACGTTACGTGGCAGTGTGGACCTGTGCCTCTCGAGCGCATCTTTCGCTCCTCCTGCCAGATCTAAAATATCTTCCACCTCAGAAACATCCGCCGTTGCCTCTCTAAGCGAGAAATCAGTCACTTCATCCAGCAGAGAGTTCACGTGTTTGTCAGCTCGGTGTTCTCCTTCTTCATGATGCAAGCCATATGAAGGTGTCGTGGAGCTTATTTGATCATCCATTGTTAACAATAATTTTACACCGCTAAATAAAAGTAACTTATTCAAAACGAGTCCTTTTGATTTAAGAAAATGAATTTTCAAAACTTCTTCAGCACACCAGCGAGAGTATACGTCAGGTTCAAAGCGGGCCTAAACCGCAGAAACGGCGCAACTGTTTGACTAGACTAGAGACGCTTAGTTAAGGGAAGTGCATGTAAATTCGGTTAACTCTTTTATTGGCTGAATGGTGAAAAGGGGCGTTTCGGTGACGCCCAAACACCTCCATACTTGCTACACTACGCTCTTAATTAGGGGAAGTGTATGCGCGTTTCTGGTATTTGATTGGGTGAGCAGTGAAAGTGGGCGGGATATAGCCGCTCCCATACTTTCTCTTCCTGAACAGTAAAGTATGTGGAAAATGGCCGAGTGATGCATTTCAAACAGCTTACAAACAGAAACATTACTATTTTTAATGTTCTTAAAAGAAGTCTCTTATGCTCATCAAGCCTGCATTTATTTGATCAAAAGTAGGCATACAGAAAAACCAGCTACATTGTGAAATAGAATTACAATTTAAAATACTGGTTTTCTATTTTAATATAAAATATAATTTATTCCTGTGATGCAAAGCTGAATTTTCATTTTCAGTCTTCAGTGTCACATCCTTCAGAAATCATTCTAATATGCTGATTTGATAGTTAGTATCAATGTTGTGCTCCTTTTGGAACCTGTGATACTGTTTTCAGGATTCATTTATTAATAAAAAGTTAAAAAGAACAGCAATTATTCAATATAGAAATCTTTTCAATTTAAATCTTCACTATCACTTTTTAACAATTTAACACATCCTTGCTGATTAAAAGTATTCATTACTTTCAAAAAAGAAAGAAAAAAATTACTGTCCCCAAATGTTTGAACGTGTATATTGTTACAAAAGATTTCTATTTTAAATAAATCCTGTTATTTTTTTTTTTTTTTTTACTTTTTATTCATCAAAAAATCCTGAAAAATGGTATCACGGGTTATAAAATAAATATTAAGCAACACATAACTTTGATAATATTGATAACAAATCATCATATTAGAATGATTTATGAAGGATGTAACACTGAAGACTAGAGTAATGGCTAATGAAAATTCGGCATTGCATCACAGAAATTATTTATATTTTAAAGTATAGGCCTATTCAAATAGAAAACCATTATTTTAAATTGTAAAAATATTTCACAAATATTGTTTTTGTATTGTTTTTCGTGCATTTTTGATCAAAATAACGCAGGCTTGATGAGCATAAGAGACATCTTTCAAAAAACATTAAAAATAGTAATGTTTCTAAACTTTTCCAAATATATATGACCATTACACACACACACACACACACACACACACACACACATATATATATATATATATATATATATATTCTTTCTCTCTCTTTCTCTCAAGGTTCAATAAACTCTGAGAAGTCTGAACATTGTGTACTTGACTAACATGATGGAGTGTAAATGTTATCTTTGTCACAGTCAAAAGATCGATCAACAAAGTAATCCAGGTGGATCCAGATACTGTGACCTGCTTGTAAAATTACAAGAATCACTTGCAAATTGTTCATGTCTCTATGATATCCCATAAGTCTCGGGTCCCTCCTTTCGTGGAAACTGCACGTCTGATTACTTGAAAAAATGTGTGCACTTCAAACCCCTAACCCTGCAAAAGGGATTTCAATAAAGTACTACTATATAATTATGGTCAAAAGGAGCACAATTTATGAGCTATAAATTGATCATCAGCTGTTTGAGCACAATAAGTTGATCTTTCAAGTCTTCCTGCAGATTCTGGTGAGTCAGTGCATGTCTGCTGGGGCAGATGTCATTGTCTGTCGTCGGTGTGAAAAGGAGACAAAGGCAGATTTGAGGGATAGTTTGTCCTCTCCAGATACTGCAGTCTCCATTATCATTGGGGAAGCAAAGTGCCAAACCAGTTCTGAGGGGTCTTTGTGCTGCACTGAGTCATGCTCGGCTGACTGGCCCTTCTCCCCTATTGATCGATTAACCATCTATGGCTGAGTTCTTTGGACTGTGCCAAAAGACAAGTCATAATCCATATTAACGTCTGTAAAAGAAAGGAAGCAGGAATATTTGGATCTTGGATTAAAAACTTTTTACAGTTAAAATATTTAATCATCTCACTCATGTTGCTGATTCATAACAGTTATCTTGAAATCCATTATAATGATTAGTCAGTGTACTTGTTATTTCCCAGAACACAAAGCTCTGTCATCTTAGTCAGAGCAAAGGAGTCTCCCAGAACTTCCTTTGTTAAACATTCTGAATCATCAACATGATCTTTGATCATCTAAGGTTTGTAATTTGTGTTATGTTCTAATGAAGCAATTAAGTCAATGGCATGCTACTGTTTCAATTTACAAGCTTTGCAGCCTATACATTGGTGATTAACTAATGAAAATATGAATTACACACATTTCCAAGAAAGCATTATTTTATTATGTAAATCTATTAAATTGCATGCTTACTGAAACGTAAATTATTTCAGAGATATAGGAAGGAGGAGACATCCCACTCATAGAAATCTGATCAATTTAATATTTGCTCTCTCTCTCTCTGTCAAGATTTCATGTTTCTTTGGCAGTAAAATTAGTCTTCTTCTGTTCGGGGTGTTTTGTGGGTTTGCCATTCCAAATTTGGAAGAAGAATCTGGCTGGTATTTATTACTGAGTTTTGCAGGTCAATGAACTGTGATCTTCACAGCATTAAACTCTCAGGGGTGTGGCTTCACTTGGCAATGAAAACAATCTCTTATCACTCTGCTGATCTGAACTTCTTCAGCTATTTCAACCTAATTAAGAGTACGAACAACCCAATCATTACATTTGTCATGGCTTAGGCGGTTTCTCCAGTAACTGGTTTGTTGGCAGAAATCAGACTCATTATAATTGCTGAGATGTTTCTGCAGACAGCACTAAATCATCATGCATCATATCATAGACATAAAGAGAATAAACTTTCCCACTGAAAAGTAAACAGAGTTTTAAAAGGGGGAAAAAATAATTAAATTAAAATGTTATTAAATAAAATGAATGTTCACACAGAATGAATATTCTGTTATTAAGGCAGGGTATAGGCAGTTTGTTTCTAAAACACTTTTTCCCAAATTTGTCTTTATATAGCCTACCAATACATATCTAAAATGTAAGTACTCTGAAAAGCAGAGTAAAAATCGAGTGTCTGTAGTCCTCTCAGGGCTGCAATAAACACAGCTACTCTTTCCATTCGGGACGAATGCAATGATTGGCTGGGCGCCTGTCACTCTCCCTCGCTACCATGGCTACTTGAGATGCATGGATGGGCTATTATCCATCCGCACCAACGTTTTTGACCAATTTTTAAAACCACACCCGCCCGCCATACGCTGATTGGGCGATACAAGGCGCTGTTGATGACAGCCGCGAGACTAGAAAGCTCTCAGAATATCAGCAGTGAACTCCGTCTCCGATCGGTGCGCAGGGAAAAAAATAAATAAATAGCCTATAAATAAACGTACTAAAGCAAACCTGACCTTATCTTATTTTCATTGTAGCCTAATAGAAAACGCATTTTGGCACATAATTTCAACATGCTGCTATGGGGCGCCGTTTGTAAAGCGGCTCACGCTGAAAATAACAGCAACATTTTGTCACATTTAGCTTCAAACAATGCAAAACTGGTATCACATCACACACTTGTGATGCACCATATTAAACGTACCCGTCTTGTGGCTGTCATGAACATAATCTGCTTCGCAGGATTTGCAAATTACATAGCCTGCACTGGTGTCATACTGATTTACCACTTTGTAAAACTTATTCCAGGCAACACTTTTCTAACCTTCTATTTCCTTTGTTTTTAATTCTCCTTTTTTGAGTTTGTCACGTACCTCCTTCGCCGGCGTTGCCATCTCTGATAATAACAAGCAGTCTCATAGACTCGACTAGCTGCCTGATGAAAATTTGACTATTTCAAAGTGTGGTCGATTTTTTTTTTGATGTAGGTATAGTCAGATAACAATATTTCACAATGTATACATATATTTTTCATTTGTTTGGTTCAACCGCCCGCCACCCGCCCGAATTTAATAAAAAAAAAAATTTCGTCACGCCATCCGCCCGATCCGCGGTTTATCTGCGGAGTCCGCGGCTGTAACCGCCAACCGCGCATCTCTAATGGCTACCACCCCTGCTGCTACAGGAGCAGCCCACATGTGCGCAACCGGTTGACTCGCTCATTTCGGTACCGGCCGGAAGCTAGGAAGTCTCACAATTATGGCAGAAAAAGAGCAGTCAAAATTCCCAGTACCACCTGTACCTGCATATATAGTCAGCGCAGGCAAACAAGGCAAAAAAAGGGGATGTCACTCCATGCACTGCATGCGCTCCTCTCCGCTCTTCGCTGGTAAATGCGTCCTCCAGCTGAGCGGTCGGCATCAGTTTTGCCATCAGGCACACACGCAAGGTCTCTCGCTCTCTCCCTCTCTGCCGTGCTCTCTCACCTTCACTTCCTCCTCACAATCATGAGTAGATCCACAGCTAGATCAATGAGTATAGAAGCACTATGATTACAATGACCTCCGATTGAAGTGTCACAAAATTCTGAAATTATCATACATTATGGGATTTTTTTTCATTATTGATCGTACATCGTACAGAGGTCAAAATTATCGTACGTCTGGCAACACTGGTCGGCATCACGCGTTCATGTGTTTTGGGGGCGTGGCTTTGGAAGGAGCCCAGAAGGGAGGGGGTGGGAATTTCTCTGTTGGATACTTTCAAAATCCAGCAGTGTTCTGCTAGTTTCTCAAACTTACCTACCCTGCCTTTAATTCATCTCATGCAGTGTTGTTTTTGTTAACTAAAACTATTACAATCATTTTGGTAACTGAAATAAAGCTGAAATCAATGTCCTCCTTCCCATTCACACTGATCCACTAAAAATAAAATGAAAATGTATTCTATTCATTGGCCTGTACTATATAACACAGCCCTAATGTCATTCCAAACCTATATTCTAATTATTCAGGGGGAAATAAATGTAATGTATATGTTCATTCTGCTTTTATAGCCTATATAACAATGATTCATG